GACAGAAGTCGGCAATTTTTTAAACGTGAGTGCGCAAGTGTCTCCCGCGCTTATTTAGCAACTTCATACTCGGGCGGCTCTAAAAAATCAGAAAGCCCTCAGATTTTACTGAGATTTTTTTTTGAAAAACATGAATCCTTCCGCAGTCCGTAGCAAAAATATAAAAAATCTACTACATTTAGACAGAAGTGCGCAGTTTTTTAAACTGGAGTGTGCATATGTCTACCGCGCTTATTTTGCAAGTTCATTTTTAAACGGCAAAAAAAAACCAGAAACGGATTTGAAATATCGCTAAAATTGCGTTTGCATCAAGCTGAATAAGTTTACTTGTCGTGGCCAAAATATAAAGATTCTCCTGCCGTCCGTTGGAAATGAGCAATTTTTTTAACATTAGTCTACAGCATTTTATTTTGCCAAACTCAGACGTTCCTGAACGACCTGAGTTCGATTATATTTTTCCCTGAAGCCCTACATTTGACAAAACAATTTGACGCCCGAAATTGACAACAAATAACAACAAAATCCGATTTTCCACTAGCAAACTGACTACTGAAGCCTCCAATCACTGCCGGTAAATTTAGGGCTTTCATAAACCGATCGAAAATTGCCATCGCATTTCCGCACAATTACAGCGCAATCATGCACTGTTCACATTGACCTCATGCGTTTTTTGTTTTTTAATTAAGCACAATTTACCTTTCATTCCCTAATGAAATATGCAATATTTTCCATATTCATGTGAAACTGGCGGGCAACGAAACAGTGATTTGCCAATTTTTGCGCCAAGTGAACCCTAAACGAACGGCTGGTAGGCAATTAGGAAAATATCCTTCACAAAGCAAAACTCATTTTCCCCATTGCTGGACAATCGGAAACTTTCCCTTTTTCCAAGGACAATCGCGCAACATGCAAAAGTTGCCGTTCGGCTTTACATCCAAGGAAATCATCGACCAGGGAAGAACTTCCCGAGAAAATATCGATGCCGTTAAACAATGGCTTTCCTCAGTGGATTCTGCGATTATTCCTCGAGTTCAGGATGAGTTGGTGGTGATTTTTCTGCTCTCTTGCGACAACGATCTGCCACTCGCCCAACACACCATCACCATGTACTACAAGTGCAAGAGAAACAGTCCGGATATATTCGATAACAGAGAAATGGACAGAGCTGATCTGAAAAAAGCCATGAATTCGATGTGAGTAAGTGCTTATTAGTATTTGGATTAAATGTGGCATGTGTGCCCGAAACGTTTCGCGCCTGCTCCATCATCAGGCAGGTTTTTAATTTAGTTAATTCAAATTTCAAATGTCA